TATGTGTAGAACATAACTTACAAAAAAAATGTTAGGCTTGTGATTTCAACAGTGGTTAGGTTCATGACTCCAACAATGGTGAGGTTCATACTCTAACAGTGGTTTGGTTCGCGACTTATAAAACGATTTTCATATGTTGGCTGTTTAAGTCAATTTAACTTATTCATTATTTATATAGTTTAAAGTACTTTTTAAAATACAGAAAATGAATAGAACAAGATGTATATAGAAAGTTTTATTGGATTGTAGACTCTATTATTAAAATAATCGAATCCCTTTTTATTTTAGAAAAGTTAGCATTAAAATAACAATTACATATTAATATAAACAATTTTATTATAATTAGCTTTCATAACTTATAGAACCCTTTTTTTATTTTTATTAAAAAATAGAAATTTGTAAAAATGGGCTGTTTTAATATATAACACCTCATATTTTCATCAAAATCTTCGCCCATATCAAATGAAGAAGTTTCAAGTTTATTACTGCACATATGTTATTTTTTTAGAGAATAAGTCTGATAAGTAAAAAATTTGAATGCAAAAATATATATAAAAGAGCATTTTCAGAAATGAAAACAATAATATAACATGCAACGGCTCTTATAATAAAATAATAAAATAGATACCAAGGTATACAGGCGACCACCAACAGTACGAGCATATAATAAGATGCCATAGTCACTGCATAATTTCTTAGAAAATTGTTGAATCATATAGCTCCTGCATGCAGTTTTGTTGTAAAAGATATGGCTGTGGTGATAATTTGGATAATGTGACCAGTACTTTTGGTGGTCTCCCTGACGATACTGTTGTTACCAAAAATAATAATTCACTAAATTGTTGCATATTCTTAAAATTGATCATGATACAAAGTACTCCCTAATAAAATAAGGTTACCTGAATAATTGCTCCATGCATAGTAATTTAAGTAATAAGTTCTGTGTTCACTAAGGATGGCTCCGAAAGTGGGTACTTTCGGTACCTACCGAAATCGAAAGTCTACCGAAAGTTTACCGAAATGTTCGAAACTCGAAAGTCCTACCAAAACTCGAAAGTTCTACCGAAACTCAAAAGTCCTACTGAAACTCAAAAGTCCTACCGAAACTCGAAAGTCTTACCGAAACTCGAAAGTCTTACCGAAACTCAAAACTCTTACCGAAACTCAAAACTCTTACCAAAACTTTTACCGAAACTCAAAAGTCTTACTGAAAATCGAAAGTATTACCGAAACTCGAAACTCTTACTGAAACTCAAAAGTCTTACCGAAACTCAAAAGTCTTACCGAAACTCGAAAGTCTTACTGAAACTCGAAAGTCCTACCGAAATTCGAAAGTCTTACTAAAAGTCAAACCCTATTTTCGCTCAAGTAAAGTAACTTTTCGAACATATCACATCTACAAAGGCTAATTAGATCTTGAGATATAACGATTTTAAAAAAATCACGTGACCGCTCCACTTGAAATCGACCAATGGGATCGTGGGTAAGAATTTATAGAGTTTATTCGCCGATTTTAAGTGGTGCGGTCACGTGATTTTTTTTACAACCGTCATATCTAAAAATCTGTATCAAGATCTGATTGGCCTTTGTCGAAGTCTGTGTCACGTGATTTGTTCGTAAAATGAGTTTTGACTTTGGTAAGAGTTTCGACTTTCGGTAAGAGTTTCGAGTTTCGGTAAGACTTTTGAGTTTCGGTAAGACTTTCGAGTTTCGGTAGGACTTTCAAGTTTCGGTAAGACTTTCGAGTTTTGGTAAGAGTTTCGAGTTTCGGTAGGACTTTCGAGTTTCGGTAAGACTTTTGAGTTTCGGTAGGACTTTCGAGTTTCGGTAAGACTTTCGAGTTTCGGTAGGACTTTTGATATGACTTTCAATTTCGACATGACTTTCAGCACACCAAAATACTTTCGGAGCCATCCTTAGTGTTCACTCGCCAATTAGACCCCTCAACGAAAAGATATCATATCCAATATTCTTAAGGAAGAATCCTTTATATATATGGCTTAGGACCAAAATCGGTAGAAGAATTTAAAAACCTCTTCTCTAGTCATAACATTGGGCAAAATTGTTAGCAATGGAGTATTTTAATGTATATATAAAAATAAAACGATTAATGTAAAGATTATATAATATATACTTTATGGTAAAATAAAATGAAAATTTTTATTTGAATTAGTGATAAGTAGAAAATCAATAGTAATTTTTTTGATAAGTGATTTGTAATGACAGTCTTTTAATCATATAATGATTTTATTATAATTCTAATATTTATAATAGACGTGTGCATAAATTATTATATATCATAAATAGGTCATGATTAGTAAGAAATCAATTATTACCAACAGAAAATAATAAAAATACGTATCTCTTAGAAAGTTATAAATAAAGGAACTGGTACGCAAATGAAATAAATCTCTAATATATTCTACATACGCATAACACAGATTATACTATATTTAGTGCGGATCTAAAAACAAAAATGCCAAGAAAAGGTCTAGGTATTAAAACTAAAAAGGCAATTCAAAAAAAGCAAGGTGGGTATATACGTACATAAGAGCATTTAGCACTTGCTTGTTCAGAGATATTAATAAAAAGGATTTAGATGAAAGTCAAAGCCAGTCTACGGATATTGAACGTAGATCTAAACGTATTGCTAGCAACAAAAGGTATAATTGAATTGCCAAATTTAGATACAAATAAGAAATAATTAAACTAACTTTATATTTATAAAGTCGAAATGCAGTTATACCAGTTTTATGAGAACCATTGAACACTACCCCAATTCTATCTAGTAAACATAATTCTGAAGCTGAAAGCTTTTCATCCAATATTAGCAGCACTTCTGGCCAACATGCTTCAGAAGTTAGTACCCAAGCAACCCAAGCAGCTAATTCAGATCCTGATAATGATGTCTTTAATAAATCACAATCTCAATACACACAATGCATCCAACATGCTTCAGAAGTTAGTACCCAAGCAACCCAAGCAGCCAATAATGATGTCTTCAATAAATCACAATCCCAATGCACACAACGTGCTTCAGGAGTTAGTACCCAAGCAACCTAAGCAGCTAATTCAGATCCTGATAATAATGTCTTCAATAAATCACAATCTCAACACACACAACGTACACAATGCACAACTGGTTCTTCACAAACACATGAATTTGGATCGACTGAATTGAATCTTGACGTCGACTTATATGAGGAACAGTCTCCAAGTTGGTCAAATACATTTTTGGATGATGAACATTATGCAGCAAATCAACCATCCACTCCAAGTAAGGATTATTGTATATAATTCTTTATCGTTATTAATATTAATTTTACTTCATTTTTCATGTATTTAATTTTAGCTTTTGGCCTATCTGATTTGTTCCGCCAAGACTCAACTATATTTGAGATTGCAACATTTGTTGCAGATCATCCTGAAATTCTTTCAATAGCTAATATGATACATAAAAGTAAAAAAACAAATTGAAACCAATCTTCTATTTCTAAAGAACCCTTACTTAAAGCACCATCAACTCCATTACTAAATCAAGATAAAGAATCATCATTGATGAAATCAACTCTAGAAGTAAATAATATATATAAATGTTTTTTATAAAAAATTATATTTTGTTAAGGCTTTTTGTCTTTATTTAGGTAAGGCTTCGAATATGGCTTGAAGAGTTAAAATGTTTGTTTCTTCGAACCCAAAACCCATCACAATCAGCATTCGACCAATTGGTAGCTACAATATTGCCAAATTCCAAGCTCGCAGATGATGATTTTCAACAGCTTCTTGAGAAAAGTAAATTAATGTTTAATGAATTTCGGCATACGTTTAATAAAGACATCAAGAATCTTGCAAATGATTATATTAAGAATTCTAGGTATAACGCTTGTATTATATTACCCAATTTTTGCTATATATTAATATTTGTTACAGAAATGATAATAGGGATTATCTAAATGAAAGTTCATTAAACGAATACATCGATCACGATGTTTCAAAAAAAATTCTACATAAATATCTTTAAACACTAGAGAATTAGAGCTTGCAGAAACTACACAAGATACATTAAACCGATTTGTTCAAGCGGCATTTAAGCTATATGTCAATCACGTTCACAAAAAAATCCGACATGAGTTTAGCCTATACAAACAAGTTTTGGAAGACATCAAAAATTTGAATTCTATTACTCTATCACTTGACATTCCAACACGTGGAAAGTCAGACATATTGAGATCATATCCTGCGCAATAATTTGGATAGTAAATTTAGATATTAAGTCTAAATTTTATAAAGATAGACTTATTACTAAAAAAGTTCTAAATTTTATTATTGCTATATTAGCAGAATTTTGCATTATACAGCTATACAGTAATCAAATTCTTCATGTATAATTTGCACAATTGCACATTTTTAATTGATTTTAAATAATATCGTCTGTTAATTAATCAGTAACACTAAGTTTAAAAAAACTTAAAATTTCTTTATTCATTTTTTATAAATATTGCTAGAGATCTTAAATGTTACTCTAAACTGCATGAATAACTTCCAGCCTCTTTGAATGTTATCACTATATATATACAGTATTACTCTGTACATATCATTTCACTTAATGAAAAATTTCTTTAACCAAGATACAGTTCGACTAAATAAAGTACAATATTTATTCATCTTGTAATGTTTATTCAGTTTCTAATCTAATATCTTCCTATACCAAAACTAATTAATCATATGTTGTGAAGGTAACTATGCATTAATTGAAGATATTTAAAACTGCAAAAACTTATTTGTATTCATAAAGTTAAATTAGTCAGTTTTTATATGCAAGACACTAGGAGAATAAATGCAATACAGTATTGATTAAAAAATAATATGCACGTTTAGCTATCAAAAAAAATATATTTATGCAATTTAAGTGTTAAAATTTTTTTAACCTAACTATATAGCTATGATAAACCTGAACTATTGGTTATTATTTTCGCTTTTGCCCTTATTTGTAATTATTTCATTTTTCGGGTCCTTATTTGTAAATTCTAAAAAGAATTGAACAGAGCAGAAAATATCTGTTATTTCCCACATGCAGCCCATACTTTTTTTATATCAAAGTAACTTAATCAAGAATAATAATTTTGGACGGCCAGAAAATGAATGGGTACAGCCTAACCTTGATATAGAAAAATTCTTCGTTATAGTGGTTCGTTATATCAAGGCTATACTGTATTTTGCTGTCTTGGCATTGAATCTTTAATATAGACATAACTTAAGTAATCTACACTAGGGATGGGCCACTGTGCAGGCTGCGCAGAATTTTTGAGACTGCACAATGTAATTTTTACAGCCAACTAGCATAGTTTTAGTCAGCTGTTTTATGGGTTTAAAGCTAGCAAAACTGATATGTTTTAAATCATAAATATAAGTAATTAATGTTGTAAAAAAAGGCTCTGAATAAAAATAACTATTAATGGATACTGTAATGCTTGTGGACTGCGCAATAGATTTAAAATCCTATACCTAGTGATTTTGTCCCAAATTTCTCAAATCGCCAAACTATTTATGCAAATAAAATAGGCTAGCAGTTTGTAATAATACGTTGGGAATTAGCGGAAGCGAAGTTTCCGCTTATTCACATACGGTCAGGTAGTGATCAGAGGATTCATAAAGCAATGTAAGCTCTAGAGATGTTAAACCATTTAAACACTTTAAAAAATCAAGTATATATAAATTTAATATATCAAACTACCAGAACTAGCTCAGTTTATATCGTAAAATCTAACTGGATTGACATTCCTAGTAAGCTTTATAAATTTATTGACCTATTTTTCAAAAGTTAATAACTTGAAAATTAACATTCAGATTTAGAATTCAGTATCATACGAACTTCAACCATAGATTAAAATTCTAAAAATTTGGCTTGTAGATTTTGTTATGAAGAACAAATTTACTGTCCATTTTTTTGGTGTCTCATTCATATAAGAGTTGAAAGGTTTTAAGGATACACGTATAGGTGGATAAATATTCAGACAAATTGGTTTTTTTTTAACTTACGTGTATAGCTTTTTTTTCTAAACATGAATACTTGGAAAATTCTTTTAGTGCTCTTTTTGACCTTTGTTGATTTGCAATCAAGAACACAAAAAGTTTTCTTTATTAACATTTATCTTGGTTTTCTGTAAAAAAAAAAAAAAAAAAAAAAAGATTGAAAAAAATCCCAAAAATAAGAAAATTTTTGGGTTATATGTCTAAAAATCATGTGGCTGAACCCTCGAATGTTAACAATGTGTCTTTAATTGTGTTGATCTAATCAGGATGCAATAGATCGGGAATTAAAACAATGTATATATATATTAATTAAAATTATCAAATTAGTATGTAATCAAAGTAACTTAAATAAATAATAAAAGAGAATGTTGAATGATCTAAAAAATTCTTTTCCATTGGCACCTAACAAAACTCAAGAAAATTGTGAGCAATAAAGAACAATTGATATTTCCTAAAATGTCTAAAATGCAAATTCCTCCTTTACGTACATGATACAAAAAATGCAATACTGATAACCCACACTTAAAGCTTCGCAAACGCAATTCATTTCAGGAATTCAGCACTGCTGAAATGGAAATAGACAACACAAGTCAAAATTTATTGGAAGATTCTTTTACAATTCCGTATAATCTAGCTCATCAGGAAGATGATAATTACAATGATTACCAAGAGGATAATAGCCAAGACGAGGAGAGCAATAACCAAGACGATCAACAGAAGAACAATAGCCAAGATGACCTACAAGAGGACAATAGCCAAGACGATCTAAAGGAGGACAATAGGCAAGATGACAAGCATGAAGATGATGATGGCCAAGATGACCAACAAGATGAGAATGATGAGGATGATAAGGATGATGAGGACGAGGATGATGAGGATGAAAAGGATGATGAGGACGAGGATGATGAGGATAATAAGGATGATGAGGACGAGGATGATGAGGATGATAAGGATGATGAGGACGAGGATGATAAGAACGAGGATGATGAGGACGAGAATGATGAGGATGATGATCAAGACTATCAACTGGAGTACAATAACCAACAGGAGGATGATGAGCCTGGTGATATATTTGAAGAACCTGAGAACGAAATAAATATTACTGACTCCATATTAGAAAAACCAACAAATCAGCTTCCAGAAAACCTTGAAAATATGTCTAATCCATATTTTACTAATTTTACTGAAATGTGTTTTTTTACTTGGGTGACTAAGCACTCTATTTGTAAGTTCTGTAATCTAATAATAATTTGTTTTTCTTTTATACACAGTATTTATTTTAGCTAACTTAATCTCTAGCAACTGCAGCCTATCAGGAACTTGTGGCTATTATTTCAAATAGTCAATTCAACCCTCTTGAAATGCTGCGAAACATACGTTCATTGAAGCGATATCGGCTAAGACTACCTAGTCTTCCGATTCATCAACATAAAGTTTGCATAAATATTCACAAATCACCCTCTAAATCGTTATCATTCAAAAATGCATATACGTTATCGATAATTGACCATATACAACAAGTCCTTAAAAATCTCAAACTTTTCTCCAAGATGTATTTCGGTCCCGGAGTTGAAGGTGAAGAAAGAAAAGAATTCTGGCATGGATCAATTTGGTCTGAATCCCCACTGTTTAGTGACGATACGCTAAAAGTCACATCTTCAGGTATTTGTAGTTAAATTTATTGAAGCTAAAACTTCAGCAACTTCCAAAAGATAAATAATATTAGGCCATGGAAAGTTTATTTTCCATTTTTCATTGTTTAATGTTCCAAAATTACTAGCGGGGGCCGGATTTTTTTATTTAATTTTTTTTATTATTGGTTATTAATCTAAATTAATTGATTTTATCTAATTTATAATACAACAAGAGTCTTTCAATATAAAATAAAAAACTCTTTCCCGTAGATCCCAATTTTAATAGAAAATAAAAATCGATACAACAAAATTCTAAAAGCAAGAGGACTAGCACGTTTACTTTATAACTAT